AAAGAGATAAAAACAAGCACTCACGGAGAGAGAGAGAGAGAGAGAGAGAGAGAGAGAGAGAGAGAGAAAGAGAGAGCTCACACACTGTTGTTAGAAATAAATGTTAGTACAACCATTATGGCAAACCGTTTGGAGAGTCCTTGTAAAACCAAGCACAGAGCTACCACATGATCCAGCAAGCCCCCTCGGGTGTAAATCCAAAGGTGATGTCGTCACACTAGAAAGGCACCTGTTGGTCCTGTTTTCACAACAGTAGCCACTAGAGCTAAACTGCAATCAGCTGAGATGCCAATCAGCAGCAAGTGAATGGAGAAAATGTGGTACGTGTGCACAATGGAGCATCGATGTGTTGGTTACTTTCTGTTGCTGCCATAACATTCCATGACCCAAAGCAACTTAAAGATGAAAGTGTTTTGACTTGCAGTTCCAGAGTCCATCATGGCAGGGAGGCATGGCAGCCGGCGGCTGTACAAGAGGCTGAGGGTCCTATCTCCATCCACAGGCAGAAAACAGAGTGAACTTGACATGGGGTGAGGCTATGAACTCTCAAAGCCCACCCCAGGGACGTACTTCCTCCAGCAAGGCCCCACCTCCTAAAAGTCCATAGCTTCTCCCGAACAGCGCCACCAACTGGGAACCAAGTGTTCAAACACTGGAGCCTGTGGGGGACATTTCTCACACCACATTCCGTCACAAAAAAACATAAAATTGTGTTATTTAAAGTAACCTGGATGCAACTGGAAACTATTACATTAAGTGAAATAAGATAGACACAGAGACAAATGCCACATATTCTCACTTGTTTGTGGAAAGGGAAATGTCAGTTTTGTTGAAGAACAGGGTGGAATACTAGTCACTAGCAATTGGGAAAGGGGGATAGAAAGGAGTTTAAAAGGGGGCCCAAAACAGCAAGAAGGAATTAGTTTTTGTTTTCCTATAGCACTGTAGGGTAATCATTTAGTTAGAACAATCTATGTGATGCACTGATAATATATTTCTATAAGATTATCATTTGTTCTTTGTTGCATTTTATTTATTTATTTATTTATTTACTTTTTATTTAGAGAGTGTGTGTGTAGGTGTATGTGTGCCAAGGTACATGTGTGGAGGTCAGAGGAGTGTGTCTGTCTGTGTCTGTGTGTCTGTGTGTATGTGTGCCATGGTATATGTAGAGGTCGGAGGACAACTTGCAGGGAGTCACTTCTGTCCCTCTGCCATGTGGGACGAAGGGATTGAAATCAGGTTGTCAGTCTTAGTGGCAAATGCCTTTCCTTTACTCACTGGGCCATCTTGTGAGTTCTCAGTAAGCTGTAAAAAAACCTTCTGAACATACCTGTTTCCTGTCTGTGTCGCAACAGACAGGCATTTTATTTAAAGGTTAACAGTAACCTCAAATTCCTGTCTGGTCTAATGGTTTCAGTCATTGTTTCTGTTTCTTGGCAGTTTTCAACAATGGTGACCACCCATCTTTTAAATTCTTCTATTTTTCCAGGCCTGGTGGTACATGTGTTTAATCCCAGCATGTGGGAGGCAGAGGAGATACAGCTCTGAGATTGAGGCCAGCCTGGTCTTCATAGTGAGTTCTTTGTAACTGGGACTACAGGGAGATCCTGTCTCCAAAAAAAGGTCTTTGAATTTTTCTATCTCCTTTAAATATGAGGGCTGGTTGACTTACATACACCCTCATCACATGGCTTCTCCCAAGACGGTGTAGTCAATGCATAAGTTTTCCATAGAAACTGCTAATTTCACTCTATTTATATTAAAACAGTACCCTTTCCATTTTCTTTCCTTTTGCATCTGGGAGACACATGTGTATGTAAATACATGTAGACACATGTAAATACACACACATACAATTGAAACACACACATGCACATAATTTCAGTTAATAGTTGAAACGTCCTTTCCTTTAACTGTTTTCCTTGTAAACCAGTTGCCAAGCTACATCAGTCGATTCCTCATTCCCTCTTGACTCTGCCCCTGGCCCTGTGACTTACCCATAGCCGTCTTTGCCACTCAACTTGTATTCATCAACCCCAACTACTTCCTGTTCTCATCTTTGGTCTCCAGCTCCTAACACTCACCCAGTTACCACCTGGGACAGGTGTAGCTCCCTCCCACTTTCAGTCAGGTTCCCAGAGAGGACTAACAGAAGAAGGTGGCGTCTTGATATAGTCAGTGTTTGTTCACTTATGTGATGGGCGCGTTTCCAGGCACCGAGTAGGGACCTTTGCACGTCTCCCTTTGCCCAGGACAAATGCTGGCACTGAGTGAATTCCAGATCACGCGCTCCATCTTTCTGTTCACAACTCCTCTAGGTGCTTTCTTGGCAGGTGAGAGTTAAAAGTAAACGTGTATGTAGTTGCCGTTCAGTGTCACTCATCCGCATCCCCCTGTGGGTAGCACCGTTAGCCCACACTCTTGCTCTGTCTGGGTGACAGCCTTCTCTAGCCATGTGGTAAACACAGGAGTGCCAGATACAGCAAATAAAGAAACGGACGCCGGCTGAACTGCTCTTTGCTATGTGCCCTCCCAACCCTTCACACAAGCAGCTGCAAACTTTGGTGACACTGATGTGGTGCTAATTCTGCACAGAACTGAAAACAAGAGCTGTTGGCCATTGGGGTTTCCATCTAGATTTCGTGGGATGTACTGCCCACCCAGCCTGCAGACTCAGAAAGAGATTTGCTGCAAGGTGTGTGCTACTACAGAGGGACCCTGCCAAATCTCCACGCTGTGGAGCCATTGGACTAAGACCACCACCGAGCCCCCATTAGGGCAATGTCTAGTGGAGTCATGGGAATAGTCAGTGACTAGATTTCAACATGAAAGCTGTTGGGGGTAATAAGCTCAGAAAAGCCATGGGAGAAGCTTTCCCTAAAACCAGACCAATCCCAGCCCCAGGCTGCCCAGAATGGGGGAAAGAGTGTCACAGATAATTACCCTGCAGTTGTTAAGAGTTATAACTTTAGCTGAGGAACTATTGGCAATTGATCACTGCCAGATGAGGGAGAGTTGGTCTTCTTTAAGACAGGCTGAACAGGCTCCAGTGGATGAACTCATGCCAAGGGACATCTAGGTCCACAAACTTGACTTAAGAGACAGAAACATATAACAGAATGCATGAAATCCTGTGGGCAGGCTGTGGGGGAGTACAGGTAGGGGAGGTGGTCTAAATATGATTAAGATGCTTTGTAAAAAATGCACAAAATTCAAAGAAATTATACATTGAGGAAAAAGGAAGAGTTAATGCTTGAGACCTGGAACTGGCTGGGACCAGTTATCCCTTTCATGTTGCCTTCTCCCTTGTAGAGTTGGAATCTATCCAGTGCTGGTCCTGTGTTTTAGAGATAGATAACATGCTTAATTTCATCTCTCACAGCTGGGGGGAAATCCACCTCAAGAGACATCATGGTATGAAAGCATGCTTCTATCTGACTTACATGAGAATCTGGACTTGGAGTTTTGAGTTGAGAGTGTGATGTTCTGCTCTGGGGATTCTTATTTTGAAATGAATGTGTTTTTCATGGGAGGAGGACATGAGCTTTAATGTCACGGTGTCGATGCGCCTCTAGAGTCTGTAGGGTGGAAGCTTAATCCCCCTTGCAAGAGTGTTGAGCAGAGCATTTAAGGGATGATGGCATCATGATCTCTCTCTCTCCCTCCCTC